CCCACCCCCCCCCGCCTCCATCTCCTCCTACCTCCCCTTGCCACTCCGCCACCCCTCAAACACAATCAGCCCCTCTTCTTCTCCCCTATCACCGAGCTCCGACGCCGCCTTCTAGCCCTCCTCTTCCAACTTCGGCAGACCCATCGCCCCAGTCAGATCATCGCCGCCTCCTCATCCCGAACTCCCCTCCTTCTTCTCCACCAGCTAACCCTCGTCGTCGCGCCTACCTCCTCAGCTCCGCTTAAGGTAGCGCCAACCTTAGTCCCACGTCCACTCCTCTTGCTTCCTCCGGCCGGTGCCGCTCACCCGCAATCATTCTCTATCTGCCGCTAACACTCTGCCAGATCCATGTCGTGTGAGCACCGTTGTCGTTGTGCCAGATCGCACCGACCGAGATAGACACCGAAGAGGCCCAATCACCGTGAACCCACCTCCTCCTCATTAAGGATCAGACCGGCGTCGAACCCATCGCCGACAGCCACAACAGCCCTTCGTCGCTATCCCCCGTTGCTCTGTTCATGCCCACAAACCCAAAGCAAGATCTCGTTGTTCAGCTTGTCATTTATTACAATTTAGATCTTTTATGAATTATCTGCATATATTAGTTTGTGAAATAATTATCTGCGTGAGATTATTGATGAATGATATTAAATAATGAGAAATATTTTCAAAAATAGAAATGGTTACTGTTCATATAGAAAAGAAAAAAAGAGAATATTTTTAAAGAGTATTTTTAGAATAATTACTACGAGAAATAATTTTAAAGGAATTTATTTTACAAAAGGATTATTTGAATTAATATTTATTTTTAAAAATTATTTTAGAATAATTATTATGAATTAAAAGAATTTATTTTGTGAAAAGAGTCATTTGTTTAGGAAAATTATCATAACTTAAAATAAATTATTTTGGAAAAAGATTATTTCTGAATTACATAGATGCTAATAATTTATGATTCTTTATTTTTACATGCCATGATATCGTTGTACAGGATTGGTTGTGTTCATTCATTATTTTTCTTATTGTGATTGAGAACTATTAGTAGTTCATGACTTAGTGGCTTTGCGCGTCATGAACAAGACTTAGTGACATATGTGTGTGCGTTGACTAAATTAGGAGGTGGACCAGAGATCTATTGTAGATCATGTTGGTTGATTTAAAAAAACAAGAAGAATTGGGATGAGAAAGTCATAGTTCATGTGATCGGATATGGTTGTTGATATATCTTCCAGGCTAGCGCCAGTGGTCGGAGTCACCACTGGGGTTGGTTTGTAGGGCCAAAGTAAAGTGTGTACATCACTTTGGCCAGTGAAAATTTATTTCGTCACCTGAGTTTAGCTTGAGTTCAGACCAGGCTGAAAACGGTTTGCGTGTAGTCCTCTGGCCACATGTGTAGCGGGATTGAATGCACGTAGGGGATTTGTGAACAGTCGGTTATCCGATAACATGAACGTTGACTCTATGTGAGATGTGGACCAGCGAGCTATTATAGGATGACTAGCTATATGACCTAGATTACCGGTTAATTTTAGATCTCTCTGATTGCTATTAGTGGTGGATTGCATTTAAATTATTAGAATTTCAATACTATGCTTCTATTATTATTACTGTCATTGCATTGGTCATTCGACCATTCTATTTTCTTTTGTGGGGTCTTGTCGTATGACATGCACGCTGACGTACACATGTTTTCTCTGATGTACATTAGATTTAGAGGACGAACAGGTCCAGCTTGGAGACACACCAGAGCCCGGAGTGCTTCGCAGATAGAGTAGAAGAAGAAGCCGAAGTTTAGTCTTTTCTTTTATTAGTTGATGGTCCAATTTTACTTTTGTAGTTCTTTCTAGTTCCGTTGATTGATGTATTTTTGTATCTCTTCAGCATTCAGTTGGACTATTTTGTAATAAGGGCATGTTTGATCCAAACTCTGTGTCTCGGATGATATTCCATTTATGATATGACTCTTTTTTATTCTGAGTTGTTTATTATATTCTTTCTAATTGTGATCGGGGACCTATAACTTCGTATTTTATATTATTTAACGCTTAGCATATTAGGTTGAGAAGAAATTGTGTTTTTTTAATTCTCCTCAATCTAATACGTCACGGGCTTGTTCACATTCCGATTCCCCGGTATTTTAGGAATCAGGGCGTGACAGAATAGTTCGAATCAGAATGTGTGACAGTGTGACTAGGGAGATGAAGGAAGTGAGATTCGTTCATCAATTGACGAAGAATATCATTTTACTTGGAACTTTGGAGGTATCAGGTTATAGGGTGACCTTAAAAAAATACAACTTTGAAGGTCACAAAGGGGTCCATGATGGTGATGAGAGGTGTCAGGGAAAATAATCTTTACTACTTGAAGGGCAAGATAGTAACAGAGGGTCTGACAGCTTTAATTACCACAGAGGAGGATACTATCCGTTTATGACACATGAGGTTGGGACACACTGGTGACAAGTCTCTACAGGTATTGGCAAAGCAAGGGCTATTGAAGGGTGTAAAGGTATGCAAAATGGAATTGTACGAACATTGCATACTTGGGAAGAAGACAAGAGTGAAATTTGACACCGTAATTCATAACACCCAATGTATATTAGATTCTATTCACACATATGTTTGGGGTCCCTCCAAGAACACATCTCTTGATAGGACTAATTACTTTGTTACTTTTATTGATGATTATTCCAGGAGGAATTAGGTATATACCATGAAACATAAACATGAGGTCCTGAATATCTTTGTGGAATGGAAAAAGAAAGTAAAGCTGCGGACAAGTAGAAATATAAAAGTACTCCGTTCTGATAATAGTGGTGAGTATAAGAGTGATCCATTTCTATAGTTTTGTCGGGATCACGACATTCAACGCCATTTCACGGTTAGAGAGGTTGAATCTTACATTGCTGGAGAAGGTGAGTTGTGTGCTCTCACAGAGTGGATTAGCTAGATCCTTTTGGGCCGAAGCTTTGGTTTATGCAAGCCATCTCGTGAATAGGTTGTCGTGTATTACGATACATGGAAAGACTCCTATGGAGGTATGGTATGGTAAAGTGGCTAGTGATTATGATGTGATTTGGATATTTGGGTGTCCAGCTTACTATCATGTGAATGATGAGAAATTGAATCCGAGGGCAAGAAAAATAGTCTTTGTGGGTTTCAGAGATGGAGTTAAAAGATTCAAGTTGTGGGATCCAGAAGACAAAAAGATGATCATTAGTAGAGATGTCACTTTTGATAAAGCTCACATGATGAGGTCTCAGGTTCCTCAGCAGGTGGAGGAAGGCCAGACTAGTAGGGTATCGTATGAGGTAAAGGATGATGTGACTCCCTAGACTTCAGATAGCACTGTATCTATTGAGGCTCCTACAGAGGTGCTACTGGGAGGAGATGATAAGACAGATAGACAGGTGGAGGATACAGTGGACGTTAGGATTCAGGAATAGGGTCATGTTCAGGAGTCCATTGTAGTGAATAGACTGAGAAGAAAAATTCTTCGGCCAGCTAGATATGATGATGTGTTGATTGCATATGCTTTGTCAGTTGAGGTCATTGATGATTTGGTTCCTTCTACATATAAGGAAGCAGAGTTAAGCTCTGATTCAATTAGGTGGAGAAAAACTATGAAGGAGGAGCTCAAATCTCTTCAAAAAAATGACACTTGGAAACTTGCAAAACTACCAAAGAGCAAGAAAGCAATTGGATGTAAGTGGGTATAAGTAAAGAAAGAAGGATCTTCTGATGAGGGCATTCGATACAAAGCCAGATTGGTTGCCAAAGAGTATGCCCAACTTGAGGGCATAGATTATAATAAGGTATTCTCACTTGTTGTAAATCATTCATCGATAAGAATATTATTAGCATTGGTAGCACAACTGGATTTGGATTTGGTCTAGATGGATGTGAAAATAGCCTTTCTACATGGATATTTAAAAGAGGAGATCTACATATCATAACTGATGGGTTTTAAAGCTGCAGGCAAGGAAGAATTGGTATGTAAACTGAAAAAAATCTTTTTATGGATTGAAGCAATAACCGCGATAATGATACAAGAGATTTGATAGTTTCATGATTGGCCAATGATACACGAGGAGCCCATATGACCCGTGTGTATACATGCACAAGCTACAAAATACTAAGCATATTTATTTATTGTTATATGTTGACGATATGCTCATTGCTTCCAGGAATTCTTCAGCTATTAGGAAGTTAAAAAATGAGTTGTCATCCGAATTTGAGATGAAGCAAAGATGATATTGGGTATGGAGATTGAGAGAGACAGGGTGAAGGGGAGGTTGAAGTTGATACAGATGAGCTACTTGCAAAAGATGCTGAAGAAATTTAGTTTTGATGGTAATGCCAAGGTGATGAGTACTCCATTAGATCATCACTTTAAGATATCAGCTAAGATGTCACATGTTTCAGTTGAGGACCGTGAATACATGTCTAAAGTTCTATATGCCAATACTGTGGGTAGCTTGATGTATGCAATGATATGTACAAGTCCAGATTTATCACAGGCCGTGAGCATGGTGTCTAGGTACATGCATGACCCTGGGAAGGGTCATTGGGAGGCCGTGAAGTGGATCCTACGGTTGTTTGGTGGGAAAATAAAAGAAGAAAAATGGAGCATTGAATTTATATTATTCTCTCTAACAGACTTAGAAAAAGAATGGATTATAATTCTCTTAATGCAAATTTCTCTCTAACAGACTTAGAAAAAGAAATTACAAATCTTCTCGATCGGATTCCCAATTTACAAAATAGAGAATGATCGATGGAGACCCTTCCATTTGTTTAACCTGGGTTCTTCTTGGTGTCGATGGAATACCTCCCTCGATGTTCGTGTCGAGTTTTCTTTCCGTTGACGATCCGAACGCTTCATCTCGTGGAACGTTGTCTTCACTTTTTGACTCTATGTGTCTTGGACAAAGTTGCATGACAAGTTTGAAACTCTTAACGAGTTAGGAAACTCTGAGCGAGTTATAACTCTATAGAAGAGTTGATTGATTTAACCGAAAATTTGTTTGTAAGCCAATGTTGATGAAAGCTCCATGAACAAATCCGAGGGTCTGAAGATTACTGAGACCCTTCATCTGTCAAGAAACCTTGTGCCGATCTCCAAAAGATTGATTCGAAAAGCTCCTAAACTCAGTTGAGTTTCTGATATTTATAGGGGATTAAGGGGTGTAACCGCCCCATTAATCCTCTCCTTAATGGGGGTTTATGGGGTGTAACCACCCCCTTGAATCACTTTTTAATGAGGGTTTATGGTGTGTAACCGCCCCCATTAAGTGAAAAAACGATTTTGAATCCGTTCAGGTTTTGTTCGAACCAGTCAAATGCAAAATCCGCATTCTGACATGAACTCTACGTTCCGAACATGGGACGCAGAGTTAGGCTCTGCATTTGATCCTAAAAACATAGCAATGAACTCTTCATTTTGAGTCTGGAACACGGCCACAAACTCTACGTTTTGAGTCTGGAACACAGTGATGAACCTTACATTTTGGGTTGAAAATGCAACAATGAGCTCTTCATTTGGATCTGGAACGCAGTGATGAACCCTGTGTTTTGGGCTAAAAACATAGCAATGAGCTCTGCGTTTGGATCATCATTGACTTGTAATCTCTTTTGTCAGAACATTGCGAAGATCGCCATTTTGTAATCTTCACTCTAGCTTCTTGAAATGTGAGAATCGTCAGATTGTAATTCCCACTGTGAAGGCCATTAATCAGAGCTTTCATCGGTTGTCGTGACAGCCATTGAATTTTCACCCTCATCGATCTACGTGAAAATCTTTAGATTGTAGCATTCGTCTGTTGTCGTGAAAGTCGCCTGATTATAACTTTCATTGTCGAGTTGTTGATGTGGAAGTCGTCAGGTTGTAACTTCCATTATTGGTGTTTGATAGGGATTAACTATCTGTAATGATTTTTTAGACAGTCTACAACGGTATATCAAAGATACCGTGGATGTTGGTTTGGTGTTTGAGAAGAATGGAAGAAATGGGTAGGATTGTGTTGGATATGTGGATTCGAATAATGCTGTGGATCTTGACAAGCGCCGTTCTACTACTGGATATGTGTTTACACTAGCAAGAGCACCAGTATGTTAGAGATGTATACTTCAGTCTACAATGGCTCTTTCCACTACGGAGGCAGAATATATGACGTTGACTGAAGCTGTGAAGGAAGCTTTGTGGTTGCAGGGCTTATTGGATGACTTGGGGATTGCACAGGATACCATCAGGGTAAAATATGATAGCATGCCATTTATCTATTTTGTAAAAAACCAGGTGTATTATGCCCGAACAAAGCACATTGATGTCAGGTTCCATTTTGTGCGAGATGTCTTGGATGATGGAGATATTATACTAGAGAAGATCCATACAAAGGACAATCCAGCAGATATATTGGCCAAAGTTGTCACTGGGGTAAAATTTGGTTATTTTTTTGGAGTTGTTGAACATTCTTTGTTGTTGAGGGCCTTTTGAGGCTATTTGGGTGAACTACGTAAGGCTTGATTCCTTAGGCAAGAGGAAACGTAGGCAATCAGTTTGATGCAGCCAATTTGACGAGTTCATAGCGATACAGTGGAGATTGTTAGAGTTCTCATTTGAGTTACCGACTTATTGTGGATTGAGTCCGTTGTTATAGATTGAGTCAACTTCGTACTGGACGCAACAAGTGGGAGGGTTGGTATTGGTGTCGGCTCAGTTTTGAAAAAACTTTACCGATGTGGAGAATTGAAGAAACGACGAAGAGGATCAGGAAAAACGAAGATTGTGTTTTTTGGTTGCAGGTCGATCGACCGCGAGCTTGAGGCTGGTTGACCGAATCCGTGCATATTACAATGTTCATAAAACACTATAAGGGTTGGTTGACTGGCCAAGCCTATGCGGTCGATCGAATGTTATGGAATTTATAGGGTCAAAAATCGACCCTCTGGTCGGTCGACCGCGGGCATAGTCCCGATCGACCAGATCGCGGTTATAGGCTGGTCGATTTTCCCAGTTGGTTTTGGATTGAGTGGTTGATATAAATAGAAAACGAATGTTTCTAGGGTTTAAGAGAGGTGATATTGAGTAGAGATTAGAGAGACTTTTGAGCACTTTGAAAGGGAGAATTTGTGAGGGACTTGAGAGTTTTGTTTAGGGTTAAATTTGTGAGATTATTGAGTGATTGCAATATCTATTTGTACTCTCTCTCTCTCTCTCTATTAGTGAAATCTTCCTCTCCTTGCCCCGTGGACGTAGGCACATTGCCGAACCACGTAAATTTGGTGTCTTGCTTGTGTGGTGCTTGTTTTGGTTGTTGATTTGTTCTCCTATCTTGTTCGTGACTCCGATTCCGCTGTGCACGACACACAGAAATTAATCTTTAGTGCATTACACAAAAATTATTTTTCAGTTACATCCGTAAATCACTTGGTATAATACCTTTAGGTACAGACTTAATTTTCATCATGCATACATGTTCCTCCGTTATTAAGGATTTAAATTATTTCATATTAAAACTAATTAGCATTGAGACTAACTTTCAATCATACTTATTGTTTAATGGACAATTATTTGTTTTGAGTGAAAATAAGAAAAATTGTAAGAGCAATGATAATTGTAGATAAGTAGTATAGTTAAATTTACTCAAACAACAATATATGTACGGTTTCAGTGTGTAGATGAGAAATGCATTAGCTTCATACCCTTTAACTAAACGAGTATGAATAGAAACTGATATTTGAAGTATTCGATCTCTCATGAGTTTAGGAGTTGAGCTAGCTAGACTATTTCTGATAGTAACAAGATGCGTGTATTTCATATCCAAATTTACATTTGCTAGTTATTGGATGTGATTTACAATAAATCAACTATTTAGATATAGAACGCTCACTAATTTAGATGTGTTTTAACCACAGTACGAATTCAGACTTTTGAGGTATTTGAATCCTAATTATACCAAATATAAAAATCATATACCAAGTGACAAACTGTAGAGTGGTACGGTTACTATTAATCTAACATTAACTCATATAGAGTAATTTCTGTTACATTTGAAACATAACACATTCATCTAAATTGCGGATAGGCACCCGATATCTTCACTCAATTGGGGATACGCACCCCGTAGTTCTATCGTTGCAGACCGATCATCTGACTGTAATTTCTTTTGACTCTTCGGCCCACAGAAAAAGGGTTTTTTTTCCTTGGACAAGAAAGTCTCCCGAGGGTAAAAAGGGGAAAAAATCGCTATCTACCACAATACAAGTAAAAGGTATCTATCCGTAATTAGGCAACATTGTGAGTCGATCTACTTAAGAATAATAATGCAGTTTTTTTTCGGACGGTTTTTTCGATTGAACCGATTCTTTTTGATTTTTGTCCACCCCTAGTAATTTCTTTTGACTCTTCGGCCCACAGAAAAAGAGTTTTTTTTTTCCTTGGACAAGAAAGTCTCCCGAGGGTAAAAAGAGGAAAAAATCGCTATCTACCACAATACAAGTAAAAGGTATCTATCCGTAATTAGGCAACATTGTGAGTCGATCTACTTAAGAATAATAATGCAGTTTCATATAGCTAATGAAAAGAATTAACATCCATCATTATTGCTCAAATAATGTCAGTTGTCAGTATGTACAGTTATTTTGAATCGCTTCGGAACTTAGCGCTGGTAACTCTTTACAAAACCCCGCAACATCTCCTCATTCTCAACACCAATCTCCACAAATTAAGATTCAATCTTCGTATAGCACCCAGAGTCCGAACCGATCAACCCCAAAATGGACGGACTCAGCCCTCAAGTCCAAGAAGGCCTCATCCGCCTGTTAACACGCAACCGCCGCTCAACTTCCGCGCGTTGCGAGGACGGCGTCGACCTGTACCGCGCGTCCTGCTACGAGACGTCTTTCATCGACGGCGGACCACCAACGGTCTGCCGCGCGCCTCTACCTTCCAAACCAGCAGACGTGATCGTTGGAAAGAAGCTCCCCATCTTCATGTACATCCACGGCGGCGGATTCTTCATTGGATCCCCCTACGAACCCATGTATCACAACTACCTCGTCTCCGTCGTCGCCGCCGCCGTCGTCGTCGCCGTCTCCATCGAGTACCGCCTCGCCCCCAAACACCTTCTCCCCTCCGCTTATGACGATGCCTTCACCGCGTTCGACTGGTTAGATATATTTATAGATGTTTTATTGTTAGTATCTTCTCTCTACATAATCATCAAAGTATAATTAAGTATATTCTAGCTAGCTTTTTGGCTACTATCATGAAGATCAATGAACGTAGTTTTCTCTATTCCTAACAGGATTCTCTCCCGCGCCGACCCGTGGCTGGCGGAGCGCGGAGACTACGAGCGCCTCTTCGTGTCCGGGGGGAGTGCAGGCGCCAACATCGCCCACAACTTGACGATGAAGAGAGGGGTGAGGATCGAAGGGATGATTCTAACTCACCCCTACTTTTGGGGAGCCACGCCCATCGACGGCGAGATCACGATCCCGCTGTGAGGCTCGTGCTGGATTGGGGCGTGCGACTTGGTGTCATGGACGAGATATGCGTCGACAGTTTGATCACCGGTCGATAACCCGGTGGGGAGGAGGGCGCCGACTTGTGGGTTGGGTGTGAGGGGCGTAGTCTTCTGGCGGAAGCGGACCCGTGGCATTTCAGGGGAAGGGCTTACTACGAGGCGCTGACGGAGAGGCGCGTAAGGAGGGGCGGTGCTGGAGTCGACGGGGGGCTGCGAACGGCGGTGCACGTGTTTCATATTGCGAATCCGGAGACGGAGTTGGCTGCCGAGGTTATGAGGAAGCTTGTTGATTTTATCCATCCTAAGTAGTCATCGACGTCCGAGCTTCATCCATCGTTTATGCGGTGTGGTTTGCGTTTTCCTTAATATTTTGCTGTTACGCGTGATTACGCGAGTAATAAAAGTTTGCTATTGAGTCTGTCGTGAACGGTGGACATGATCTCTTAATTACTTTTTTTTTATAGTTGAGAAAATCTAAATTCAATAATTTGGTTGAAATTAATTTAGTAGAGAAGAATTTTCTTTTTCTCATTTATTATTATGAAGTGTAGAGCAGTATATGCTATATATCTATCCTTGTATGCGAACTTTAGGGTTTTGAAGTGCAAATAGGTCAAAAGATAATTACGAAAATATAAAGTAGAAGGTGACCATTAATAAAAGATCAGAAGAAAAACCTGAAAATAGTGAACTGGGGAAGAAGTAAAAAAAAAAAATGAAAAAAGGTTAGTCGAACATATAACTACTAAAAAAAGGTAACCGGATGACCAGGATGACGTGACGGAGCGGCATCTTAGGAATAGTTGAAAATAATCGAAATTATTAATAATAAAAAAATCAAATTTCTTAATCATCATGGGCTCATAGCACATGATTTCCATTGGCTGTGTAATGAACGATTTTTATCCTTCATCCTTCATATGACTATGGCGATTAATTAATTAAGGCCACTTCAAACTACGAGCTGAGATTTCAGTGGATTGTAACTTATCATTTTGGCAAGAGTGTTGCTACGGGGACCCAAAATATGGGACCAATGGAGGGGACAGGTGAGGTGTCCCCTCCCTATTGCATAATGAGTTGGCACAACCAACTCATTATGCAATAGGGAGGAGACACCTCACCTGTCCCCTCCATTGGTCCCATATTTTAGGTCCTTAAATCATTTTTCTTTTGGTAATTTTTGTTCTTTTCAACCAAATCATATCATAGTCTTTTAAAAGTAAGAGTTCGAGAAAATCTTTTAGTCGACAAAAATATCCTTAAAATTCAAATACTAATCCATTAAGTAAGAGGAAGTTGATAAATTGATGAATTATTACTGGATATATATAGTATGAAGATAAAAATATAGTTTAAATTAAGGAAAAATTGCTTCAAGGCCCCAAAATTGAAAATACAATGTGGCCCAGCCCCCTGTAGTTTGGCCCATGTGACTAAGCCCTTAAATTTTCAAAAAAATGTAACTGGGCCCTAAAAGCAGTTCTCACACCCGTATTTGCACCCAGCCTCCCTAAAATACCCCCGCCTTCAACTCCGTGCCTCGAAAACGAGATCCGATCGCTGGCGAAACCTCTCCGTCGCATTTAAGGCGAGATGATGACCGTTTTGGGGGGAAATTTTGGCGCGCTCCCTCCGTTATATCTCCTGTTAACCCACTCGGCTTTGAAGAGAGTGTATTTATGGTGCAAAGGGCAGATCTTTGCGGTTAGGGCTTATGATCTTCAGCCCCCTACTTGTCCTAAAGTGCCCTTCATAACTCCTCTTAAATCCCCTTCATTTATGGCGGAGAGCCCCCTTATTTGCATGGTTTCCTTGGGTGAGAGAGCAGTGTTCTCAAGGGTAACTTCTGCAAACCTCTTTTTTTGAGTTTAAGTTCGACGTGGCTGAGAGGTTGAAGGTTCCTTATGATGCGCTATCAATGGGTTATAAATCTGAAAGGATCCCTGATCTGAGTTTTGAGATCGAGAATGAGGATGATATGGAGTGTATGGTGGAGCACAACCGTAATATCGGGTGTCTGGAGATCCATATTCGAGCTAATATAGATGTAGATGTTTCCAGATGTGAGAACACCCCGAAGCAACCTCCTGAAATGTAAGTTATATTTACACTTAATTTATTTGAAAACTTATGAATTGCATAGAGCAGGTTAAATGTTAGCTTTTAACTGATATATGTTAACTTTCTACCGAAGGTTGTTAAGCTTTAGGGCATATTTGTTAACTCTTAAGGGTACTGCATTATTTAAGTACAAGTCCTATTTGTTATTTTAAGAAAAACCAATTATATTTGTGCAGCATTATGAATACACTGAAGCCAAAGTTTATTGATAGTACTTCTGCCGCAAACCATGGTTCTGAAAGAATTCCAATTGATAATCCCAGTGGTAGCAGTGTAGTGCGTTCTGATGACATTATTAACAACACAGTAATGATTCCTGGTTGGTGGCATAATGCATTAACTGAAGAGGGTCAAGAATTTGAAAGTGCTGAAGAATTAAGGTTGGCGCTGACATACTATTCTCTGGCCAAAATGTTTGATTATGAGTTTAAAAAGAACGAACCAAAACGTATCCGTGTATATTGCCGATATAAAGAAACTTACGAGTGCCCATGGATGTTGTTTGCTTCACCTGTTAAGAATGCAAATAGACTATCGATCAAGAAGTTTGTTAATGAACATACTTGTGGGCAGTACGGGCAAAATACAGGTCGTTCAAGGGCATCCCGTAAATTCATTGCAACACAGTTACAACCACTCCTGAAGGTCCGTCCAGAAATCCGACCCGTTGATGTGCAAAAGGAGTTCCTCACAAACTACGGCCTTAGAATTGATTACAGTAAGATATGGTGGGGGAAAGAGAGAGCACAGGAGAAGCTTTACGGGGATATATATGAGTCGTATGATCAACTACGATGGTAAATGCTGAGCTTTATTATTAACTTGTTAAGTTCCAAAGTTTGCTTGTTAAAACAAATAGTTAACATGTTCCTTGTTAAGTTCATTGATAACATTGATAACATGTTAAGTTTCACGACTAACATGTTAACTCTTGTAAATAACATGTTAACTCTTGTTAATAACATGTTAACTCTTGTAAATAACACGTTAACTTTTGTTAAGTTACCCCAATAATGTGTTAGCTTTTTTTGGTCGCTTGTTAAGCTACACGGATAACATGTTAACTTGTTGGTTTGTTTCTTCTTACACGACTAGGTATGAGCGCATGGTAAAAGAGACAAATCCCGGCAGTTACATACATGTTGACCAGAATGAGGGGAGGTTTTCGAGACTCTTTGTTTGTTATGCTGCATGCATCAAAGGTTTCTTGAGTGGATGCAGACCCCTTCTATTTTTGGACGGTACATTTTTGAAGGATCGATATAAAGGTATTCTCCTCTCGGCCATAGCATACGATGGGAACCAAGGTATATTTCCCTTAGCGTATTGCATATGTGATCAAGAGAATTTGATGAATTGGAAGTGGTTCCTCCAAGGTCTATGGTCCATACTTTATGAGAGGGCTGACCCTTACAATCCTCCCCACCAATTGGTTATAATTTCTGATGCGGACAAAGGAATTAAAGAATCAGTAAAAGAGTATTTTCCAGAAGCTCTACACTCGAGGTGTGTTCTACATCTTGTTGAAAATTTCAGGTTAAAGCTTAAGGACTTGGGTATGAAGTCGAAGGACACTCATGTTCTTGGGAACTTACTCCAAAGTGCTTGTTATAAATACACAATAGCAGAATGGAATGAGTACATGAAAGAGATATATGACATGGATCCAAGGGCATACAACATTGCTATGAACTACTCTCCTGATCAATGGGCAAATGCATTCTTCCCGGGAATAAGGTAACGTTATTTGGCTGTTCTATATCTATGCTAATGTATGAACTTATGCTATTTAGCATGTTATCTTTGGATTTGTTAAATTCTATATCAGAGCTGTTAACTATATCAGAGTTGATAACATGTTAAGTCTTGTTGATAATATGTTGAGTCTCGTTGCTAACATGTTAACTCTTGTGGGTTACGTGTCAACTCTTGTTGATAACATGTTAACTCTTGTGGGATACATGTTAACTCTTGTCGAAAACATGTTAACTCTTGTGGAGAACATGTTAACTCTTGTGGGATACATGTTAACTCTTGTGGAGAACATGTTAACTCTTGTTGAGAACATGTTAACTCTTGTGGGATACATGTTAACTCTTGTGGAGAACATGTTAACTCTTGTGGGATACATGTTAACTCTTGTCGAAAACATGTTAACTCTTGTGGAGAACATGTTAACTCTTGTTGAGAACATGTTAACTCTTGTAGAAAACATGTTAACTCTTGTGGAAAACATGTTAGCTTTTGTTTAAAACATGTCAACCCTTGTTGCTAACATGTTAACTCTTGTAGATAACATGTGAACTTTTGTGGCTATATGTTAACTCTGATAGATAACATGTTAACTTTTGTGGAGAACATGTTAACTATTCTGGTTAACATGTTAAATATAAGAGCTTATCTGTTAACTAATTATATGAGGATTGGTCTTACGCAGAAATATGTAGATACAATCCCGTACTGCTTGTTTAATTCAGCGTTCTCTGGCAACTGCAGCCATAGCCGTAATCTGTCTAAGAGTGCCTCTGTTACTTTATCATCAAGTCTTCCCCCGCGGATCATATACAGTAGATCCGTGTATGTAATTGCGCTGTTATCAGTAGTTATGACATATACGTACCTTAACAAGAAATAAGTTACGGAGGGTTAAAATTTAAAACATGAAAAGTAACATCTAAACGCAAAAACATAACAAGCAAAAAACACAGTTTCACAGTTAATATTAAAGAGTTAGCATTAAACTACTTAACATATTATCTGTCGTGGATAACATAATAACACTTGTAGCTAACGTGTTACCTCTTGTGGCAAACATGTTAACTCTCGTTGCTAACATGTTAACTCTTGTGGGATACATGTTAACTCTTGTCGAAAACAAGTTAACTCTTGTGGAG